TTTGAGCTGAAAATTTGTGAAGACGGTCTTCTTAGTAACTGATCATCCTCAGCCAAAGCTCGCGCACATTAGCCATGTGCATTTCCCGTACAGTTAATCAAACACTTGGCTGCTTATTCATGTTTGAGCATTGATCGGTCTCCTCGTGAGCATCTTATGTTGTGATTTTCTTCCTAGCATCTACCTGGGGAGTGCCCAACCCACTAGACATTCCTAGGCCACCCAGAACACATCGCAACGCCACGGTCACACGGTGACCACGCGGCGGGCATGCTAGTTTACGCGCTCTAGAGTTGGAGCCCTCGGCCACCGTCCAAACCTCGATGTATCGCCACCAGACCATGTATTTATGATTAAATAGGTACTTATGTAACTAGAAATGATTTTTGGAACAAATAAATGGCAAACTATGAGGCAACTGCCGTTCAAATATTACCCGCTTCCTACTGAATCGGCGGGAATTTGTCTTTTTCACCAGAGGTGGATCAAAACTTTTGACACCCAACCATTTTGTCAATTATACATTATATATGGCCTAGTATTTTATAAAATTGATTAGGTCCAGTTTTGCAACTAATATATGGTAGGTCCTTCACAAAAAAAACTCATTTGAGGCACTCGGAAAATGGAAAATGAATTTTCCATGCAAAAAATGAAAACTTCCTTAAGCAACATTGTTTGCCATTCCAAGATGCACCCTTGTGCACAATACGATATTATTTGAACAAACTATGCCATGAATGTGGCCATAAAATTGATCATTTGGCTTGAAAGCCATGAATCTTCACGCATGATAGCTCATTTTTTAGAACACTTTTTTAAAATAATTTCCGTATTACAAGTTTATTATTTTTCCTGGAAACTAGGTCACATATAATGACACAATGCAAAGGTTTTCCAATTTTTTGATTTTTTTTTGAATTTTTTATGCCCGTTTCAAAATGCGGTCAAAACGGCGGGCTTGACCGTTCCTAGCTAGTTGTTGAATCTTGGAAAACTTTTGATGTTTTTCTAATTAAATAGATACTTATGTACCTAGAAATGATTTTTGGAAAAAATAAATAGCAAACTATGAGGCAGCTGCAATTCAAATTTGACCCGCTTCCAACTAAATCGGCGGGAATTTGTCTTTTTCACCAAAGGTGGATCAAAACTTTTTACACCCAAACATTTAGTCAATTGTGCATTAAATATGCCCTAGTATTTTAGAAAAATAATTTGGTCCAATTTTGCAAGAATTATTTGGTAGGTCCTTCACAAAAAACCTCACTTGGGGCACTCGAAAAATGGAAAATGGCTCTTTTGTGCAATGAAAGTGAAAATTCCCTTAGGCAACATTGTTTGGAATTCCAAGATGCACCCTTGTGCACAATATGATATTATTTGAATAATCTATGCCATGAATGTGGACATAAGATTGATCATTTGGCTTGAAAGCCATGAATCTTCACGCATGATAGCTCATTTTTTAGAACACTTTTTCCGTATTACAAGTTTATTATTTTTCCTAGAAACTTGGTCACATATAATGACACAATGCGAAGGTTTGCCATTTTTGTGAGTTTTTTTGAATTTTTTATGCCCGTTTCAAAATGCGTTCAAAACGGCGGGCTTGACCGTTCCTAGCAAGTGGTTGAATCTTGGAAAACTTTTGATGTTTCTCTGATTAAATAGATACTTATTTACCTAGAAATGATTTTTGGAAAAAATAAGGAGCAAACTATGAGGCAGCTGCAGTTCAAATTTGACCCGCTTCCAACTGAATCGGCGGGAATTTGTCTTTTTCACCTGAGCTGGATAAAAACTTTTTACACCCAACCATTTGGTCAATTGTGCATTAAATATGGCCTAGTATTTTAGAAAAATGATTTGGTCCAATTTTGCAAGAATTATTTGGTAGGTCCTTCACCAAAAAACCTCATTTGGGGCACTCGAAAAAAATTGAAAATGATTTTTTTGCCAAAAAAACTCATTTCTCATGGCACCTTTTTAAAGATATTTATCTCATTTCATGTTTATTATTTTTCCTGGAAACTTGTCCACATTTGGTGACAAAGTGAGAAGGTTTCACATTTTCTTGTTGAATTTCTCAGGTCATAAAGTAGCTGACATGATTTTAACACATTATTTTTAGTGAACTATGACCAATTTAGATGGTCACAATGTCATACTGCACTCTGATTAGTCCGTGGACGTCTCACGCGGATCATGCATCGCACACCGTCGGATGCTCGCGGATCCAACGGCAGTCCTTGACCCTTTCACACCAACCCCAAAACCCTAGCTATGTCCTTGTGCTCATTTTCATCCACCCCCCGCCTCCTTTCTTTCCATCTCCTCCTCTCCCCTTCCAGATCCGGCGGAGCTCCTCTCCATCGCGCCCTTCCTCACCACCCCGGCAGAGCTCCTCTCCATCGCGCCCTTCCTCCTCTCCACCACCCCGACCCCCTTCCTCTCGCGACGCATCCAACGCATCCGCCAGCACCTCGCTTCATTCTCCACCAAAACCGATCCAAGCCACTGGCGAGCCCCTCTGCTGCCCGCGCATGCACAACCTCGCCTCCCGCTGCTCTCCATCGACCCCCTCCGCGTGCTCACCGTCATCACCTCCCTCCGCCACATCGACCCCAAGGTAACCAACCTCCTCACCTGCTAGTTCACGGTTTGTCCGTCGTGTCCTGCGGCGATGCGCTGATCGATGGTTCTGGTCATTGGCTTTAGGTGCTGGCGCAGGCGACCAGGAAGTTGTTCCAGGGTGAGCCGATGAAGAGGCGGAAGGGAATTAGGATCGAGATCAACAACTGCGAGGAGGGGGAGGAGAGCGAGAGGGGCAGCGTGGTGGCCAACAAGGGGAGCACCATCATGTGAGCCACGTCCTCCCGGTCCACGGCCACGTCGGGGAGATGCCGCCGACCTCCACTGGCGAGCGGCGGCTGTGAGAGTCTGGTGCAGAGGGCGGACTTGATAATGAAGTCTCTCTCGTGGTCCAAGGCGACGCCGGTCACGGAGACGGCCATCCGCGCCGCCGTTGGCGACAATGCTGTAACTAGAAAGGCTGTGTGCTGGTGAGTAGGACACTTCCGCTAATCCAACTATCATCTCTGAACATGTTCTGAAATCTGTTGGCTAACTCTTTGTTTGGAATTCGCAGGTTGCTGAAGCAGAAGAGAGGGTTGCGTCGTGCAGGCACTGGTGGCCGCCCGGATCTGTATGTGTACATGGTACGTGAAATCTGTGCCACACAGTTTGCGTTTTGATGATGATTTGATTTCTGAAAGTAGCCAAATGTAAGCTATGACTGAATCAGTATAACTGAGAGTCAGTGTCCAACTTCTAGATGGAGTTAGGGAGTTGTTACTTATTGGAGTAGTAATTTCCAGTTATTCAGTAGAGAGTAAGTGGAATATGAAAGCAATTGTTAAATCTTATTAATTTATCCTAGTTCCACTCACAGCTTCAGTTCTATAATTCTGGAAGCCAGTTGAATCCTGAACACTGCACATTTCAAAAAATTCTTCCAAACCACATAATTTCATTCCTTGATACAGAAAGTACATCAAGTTCTGATATACATCGATCCTGCTTTCCTCGTACCAATAAAGCATGTCCATAACTTTGGATTATAGCAAAAAAATTGCTAAAAGAACAAACGCCCAGTCAAAGCTCTGAATGATTAGGTACTGTAAATTGGATCTCCTGCATAACTGCACTTTGCCATTTGCTTCAGGCACTTCTTGTTCCGCCAATCCACGAGCAGGGAGCGGAAGGCGCAGCCAGCGATCCGTGAGCGCATGGTTGGCGCAAGTGGCGACGGAGAGCGGCCGGAGACTGCCAGTGATGAGCAGCGATGGCAACCTCGAGACCAGCAAGTAGGCGACGGTGACCTCATTGGGAAGTGGATGAATCGACTTGAGGCGGTTTCTTTGAAATTCTTGGAAATGCTTTGGTAGTTTCTTTCGGTGAGAAACTGTTTCATACTGAAGTTTACTGGTACACGTATGGTTTGCTACTGTTGTTTCATTTGGGTTGGGTTGGTTCCAGCAGGGAGATGTGCATGCACACTGGCAGCATGAGCTAGCAGCCATGATTGCCAGCCAGCCACCACCACGTAAAAGTAATACTTCTCCAACTGAGCAATGTCCAACTTAGCTAGCTGGGTGGCCCTGACCTACCATACCTGCACTACATGCACAGTAGAGAAGAGGAGCAAAAAAAATACTATCTCGCAGCTAGAGAGAGTTGTCCAATGAGCAAATTAGGGCATCCAATCATCCCAATGAGAGAGCAGAACTAAAGTTTTCTCTAATTTCGATTTCTCAAATCTCTCTGTGAACTTCTCTAGTCAATTTAGCTGTTGTGTTGTATAAATGGAAAGTGAAAAACCTTGATAAGTAAAACCCACGTGCATGATTTTATAGTTGATCTAATTTGCTTTTAAACTGTACCTGTGTACTAAACCCAGGTTTCAGTTGGCCTTGTATTTATATTTTCGTCTTGTTTGTCGTGCTTCTAGTTACGGAGTGGCCTGTCCTATGCTGTGTCCTGCCACTCAAACGTATTTTGGGGGCATGATCAATCATTTTATCATGATTGAAAGAATAGCCCATAATTTGCTTCTACTTTTAAGCTAAAAAATGTTTGTGCAGTAAACATTATATGCAAGATTGTTACTGCCATGCATGCACATTATACATTCTTATCTGGTTAATGTTAATCAATACTGATCTAGATGACTGGTCAATCAGCATTTGCTGGAATCGTGCACCGTGCTGGTGTTAGTCACAATGATCAGCTTCAATAGCATGACCAGTACCTGAACATGATGCATATTTATTAACAAAAATGGTAAAGCATTTTGCTAGTCCGTTGCGAATGCTAATAGACCATGATAACTTGTATATTGGACCTATCCCATCTCTCTGTTTGACTCGCTTAATCTCTCTCTATCTTTCTATAGGAGCTGCCGGATTTGAGGGTGGAGGCCGAGCCTCCACTGGAGCATGGATCAGACGTGCAGGAGGTGCAGCTCCGCATGGATCACGATGTGGTCGTCGTGGGGGCCTGGATCATCAAGTCCGCAGGTGGCGTCGGGGGCAGTGCAATGCCAGCTGCTGGACATAGTTCACCCTGGGTTGGTGCTGATGCACAAGGTTTGGAGGCGTTCTGGCCTGATTGATCTGTTCTGGAGCGTTGCGCTTAGGCGGCTTGGCTTAGATGGCTGCGATGCGATGCTCATTTTGGGGTGTTTTGCAGGTGAATTTCGATGCCAAGACGGACTATGACATGATCCAGAACTACAGGATTCTCCTGGATGTGTTCAACAAGTTGCAGATATTCAAGGTACGGGTGGTGATTCTCCTGGATTAGGTATCTACCCATGGATTTATCTGTGATTGTGTCTTGCATTTTGTCATCTGGGAAAGCAAATGTGATCTGTCTGTACAGTAGTTCGGTTTATATATGTGATGTGTGGGGATTCAATCTAGAACAGTTGTATGTGATTGATGTCAGCATGTGGTATAGCCACAAGGTGATTCGATAACTGACTAAATTTGCAGTGCAGTATTGAAGTTATGCTCATTGCTGTGTACAGTACTAAACTTGTACAATTCTTGTCTTGTTTCCACACAACATTAAGATTAGAGTCATGCTTTTTGAATGTTGAGCCGATTTTTATGGCTTGTGTGCTAGCAAACTGAGCTTAGGGTGCTTCATCTTTGTCCTTCGGCTTCTATTCTTATGACAATTAAATAGAGGATCTATTTTGCTCCTTGCTCTGATTGGTTTCAATCGATATTTATCTCATCCAGCAGTCTGAGTATCAATGTGTTGTTTTAATCCCGATGATGACGTGGTAGTATGAAGTGGACACCATATTCTTGTTTAAATGCACAAGGAATAATTTGTTTCATCATGTTCTAGTTTATCCATGCCATATTTGTTGCTTCCGGAACTCTTGGTCCTTCATATCTAAAGTTTACATGTACTATAGAAGCTCTACTTTATGCTAATACCTGCTTGTGTAACATTTTGCATGGTATACTTCTAAATGGACAAGTACATGCGGCGTCCATCATCAACGATGATGCGGACTGACGTTCAACTGCAGAACCATCCATCATATCAACACAAAGTCAGGTATGTTCTTGTCTTGTTGAACAGATAAGGGCATGATGCTTCATGGCCTTCTGCTTGATGCATGTATCATTTGACACACACATTAGTAAATCTGAATTAATTTTGACATAAATGCTTATCGATTGAATATGAGTATTGTTCCTTATACTCAAATGGAACTTTGATCTCCTGTAACTTTGAATGATTGTTTTTAAACCTTGTCGTGTATGTGAAACATTCAATGCTTATTTCTTGCTAAGTTTGTCATATGTGCCAATTCAATTCCCAGTTTTGACGAATATGCCTATTTCAGATAAGTAGAATGATCTTGGTAAAATAATAATAAGTAGAATGATAAAATACTGGTGTGTCTTTATTTTTTATTTTAAAAGTATTCGCGTAATATTTCTTCTATCAGTGACATACTTCTTGTTCTCTTTTGAATGTCCAGATGTTTTGCAAAAGGAAGAAGCAGTACTTGAAGAAGCAGATTACAATGTTTTCTCGTCGTGAAGCACTAGATAGGCTTGTTCTATTTATTTTTCCTGTTCTGGAGTATTCCAACACCTGAATGCTTGACTAAAACATGTCGTAGGTTGCTTGGATCTGTATAATATACATATGTGATGGAAATTTGTAGAATGTGTGTTCTGAGATATTTCTGTAATATTCAGCTAATTCATGGTAACTTGATTCATATTGTTATTCAAACTGGTTCGAAAATGTTTGTTAAATGGGCTGGAGTTGGACCTTAAAGAGGCCAAGGAACAAATTATATTGGACAAATATTTTGGGTAAAAAAGTAAAACAAAAATAGATGAATGTGGAATGGCCAAGGCCCAGGAAAGAAAAACCTGGAAAACATTGGGCTGGACTCATTTGAAAAAAAAAAGATAAAAAGGCTGCAATGTTGGGCTTGGCCCATGAAGTTGACCAAAAATTGACAAGAAAAAAATATAGAAAGGCTGAATTGTTGGGCTCGGCCCATGTAAAACACCTAATCGGACCGGGCTGAATCTTGTCAGCGACCTTTTCAATTGGTCGCAATTTTGCCACGTCAGATTGCCACGTCGGATCCGACATGGCCTGGGCAGACAGCCAGTGACCAAAACAAAAGGTCATGGGTTCAATGACCTTATGTTTTGGTCGCAAACGTCTACGACCTTCTCACAGAGAAGGTCGTTAATTTCAGTTTACGACTGCCAGCTTTTGATCTTCTATTTTTGGTCACAAAAAGGTCGCAAATGAAAAACAATGACCTTTCAGTGACCAATAGTCAAGGTCACAAGTTGACATATTTCTTGTAGTGATTGCGAGGGATGCTGAGGCGGGAGTATTTGGGGAGCGAGCTAATATGCTTGACACCTCGGCTATGGACAGTAGCCGACGCACCTTCTCGCATAAGCCATAGGTGTACTATACACCGAGGATGCTCCAGGATATTTTGTACTGCTTCTCACACGGTTAGTGATAATAAATTGTGTGGGATCTACTTGATTTTTCATTTTGATTTGAATTACATAATGGGGTCACAGTGGCAATGGACAGTGTTTGAATTGCTAGACCTTTTATCTGCAGTGAACATGCAACTATATGTGTGTCGTAGAAAAATGGAATTATTCAGGGTTCGTTTGGAAATTTTATACATTAAATTGATTTTCTAGCAATTTCAGGTGCACAATTCAAAATCAAAGCACATGCTCTAGTCCCTAAAAATAGGTTGCAAAATCAAATGTTTGTCCTTGGTTGCAAGCTTAGGTCACATGCAAGAAATGAGAATGAATGTCAAACACCTTGACATTGTCGCTCAACCGCTAACATTGAGATACGTGGTTTTAAAATTATAGTAAGCCGAAAACATGGCAGAAATTCATGAAACTTGACATGCTATCATGGAACGGCATCGACATGACGTGGTAAAAATATTTTCTCGTTTGGGCCAGGTTTGGGTATAAGCTTCTCGCAAACCGGAGCTTCTCTCACAACAAGCCAGATGGCTTCGGTAGGGAACGTGCCACCTTGGGGGACAAACTATATATGTTGCCTCTTCTTACTTTCTAAATTTTTCTCGCGTCAACGTAGAACAACACGAGTGATGTGTCATTTTTTGGGAGTTTCCGGGGTTCGCTTGGACATTTTTATACATTAACTGAGTTTTCTATGCTTCATGTGCATAATTCAAATTTGAAATACATGCACATGCTCCGGTGCATATAAAGTGGTTCATAATTGGAATGTGTGTCCTTGGTTACATGCTTAAGTCCCATGCAAGAAATGAGAATGAATGTCAAACACCTTGCCACCGTCGCTCGGCCGCTAACATTGAGATACTTGGTTTTTAAATTCTAGTAAATCAAAAACGCATCTGAAATTTATGAACCTTGACACGCTAGCATGGAACGACATCAACATGCAATGGTAAATATATTGTCCCATTGGGGCAAGTTGGGGTTTATAAGCTTCTCACAAACCAGAGCTTCTGACAACAAGCCTCATGGTTACGGTAGGGAACATTTCACCTTTCTGGACGAAACGATATCCGTTGCCTCTTCTTGATTTCAATTCTTTTACTAGTGACAATATAGAACAACATGAGTGTTGTCTTAAATTTTGGAATTTATCGGGGTTCGCTTGGACATTTGTATGCATTAATTGACCTTTCAATGCATTTGTGTGCATAATTCAAATTTGAACTACATGCACATGGTCTAATGCATATAAATTGGTTGAAGATTCAAATCTGTCTCCTTGATTGCATTCCTACGTCCCATGCAAGAAATAGGAATGAATGTCAAACACCCTACCATCATTACTCGGCCGCAAACATTGAGATACCTAGTTTTTAAATTCTAGTAAATCCAAAACTCGTCTGAAATTCATGAAACCTTGCATCCTATCGTGGAATGGGACCTAACATGCCATGGTAAATTATTTGTCCCATGTGGGGCAGGTTTGGGTATAAGCTTCTCACAGGCCAGAGCTTCTCACAACAAGCCTGATGGTTTTGGTAGGGAACGTTTCACCTTTCTAGACGAAACGAGAGCCGTTGCCTCTTCTTGATTTCAATTTTTTCTCTAGTGTCAACATAGAAGAACATGAGTGTTGTGTTAAATTTTGTAATTTTTGGGGTTCGTTAGCACATTTCATATGCATTAATTGAGTTTTCAATGCATTTATGTGCATAATTAAAATTTGAAATACATCCACATGATCTAATGCAAATAAAGTGGTTGAAAATTCAAATCTGTGTCCTTGGTTGCATGCTTACGTCCCATGCAAGAAATAGAAATGAATGTCAAACACCCTTCCATTATCACTCGGTCGCAAACATTGAGATACCTAGTTTTTAAATTCTAGTAAATCCAAAACTTGTCTGAAATTCATCAAACCTGGCATGCTATCATGGAATGGCACCCGACATGTCATGGTAAATTTTTTGTCCCATTTGGGGCAGGTTTGGGTATAAGCTTCTCACAAACCAGAGCTTCTCACAACAAGCCTGATGCTTTCGGTAGGGAACGTTTCACCTTTCTGAACGAAACGATAGCCGTTGCCTCTTCTTTATTTCAAATTTTTCTCTATTGTCAAATAGAACAATATGAGTGTTGTGTTAAATTTTGGAATTTTTTGGGGTTCGTTAGCACATTTCTTATGCATTAGTTGAGTTTTCAATGCATTTATGTGCATAATTCAAATTTGAACTACATGCACATGCTCTAATGCATATAAATTGTTTGAAAATTCAAATCTATGTCCTTAGTTGCATGCTTAGGTCCCATGCAAGAAATGGGAATGAATGCCAAACACCCTGCCCCAGTCATTCGGCCGCAAACATTGAGATACCTAGCTTTTAAATTCTAGTACATCCAAAACTCGTCTGAAATTCATGAAACTTGGCATGCTATCATGGAATTGCACCTGACATGCCAAGGTAAATACTAATGCAACTCATAGGCCTTTTTGCTAGTCTTTATCTAATTACAAACGGGAGATTATTAATAATTGGGAACCAATATCCCAAACGGATTATTTATTCGAACCGTGAGCGTTAGAGCAACAATGGATACGTGCCACGCTTCGATTAAGCAATAAAGAGGCAGCATTAATTGTCCAAATAGAAAAACAATATACTCTGGATTATATACAACAATTCATCAACACTCAACGACAATGAGGATACATGTTGGATTATAGATTATTTCGAACAAAACATTCTAGTAAATACTAAAGTTTTTCTCACCCAACAAATA